TTCTACATATGTGTGAAAAAATAGTTTTTTTGTGCAATTCATCAAAAATATATTTAATGTTCCTTAAATAACACATTTTTCTGGACTTAAACACTGTACTGGTAAACAAAAACCTTATATAGTTTGTAATAATAAAGTAGAGTGTGAAGCATATTCATTCTTACAAAGATGCACACAATTTTAAAATAATACCAATGTTGAAAAGAATCTGTTGGAGACACAAACCTCATGATTATATTTATCATCAGTCCCTGCCAAAGGAGAAGGTGAGTGACTATTTCAATAGCCAGTGATCAGATTTTAATTAAATTCTCAGAAAGTAATTACTGAAAGAGCATCTATAATGTTTGTATTCACCCTAATTCAAGATGGCCACCACAGCTACGTGACGTTAGTGGTAGTAGCTATTCTTATTTAGCGAGCGCTAACTGATCGAGCTAAATCATTGTTTCAAACTTTGTCATTAACTTTGTCAACTCTGTCTTTCTATGGACCACAGAACAAATTTTAATGAAACCTCCAGAAAGTGATCAGGTACATCTACCTAATCTACTCACTTTTGGACTGTCACAGGTAAACTGACTTTCAGTCGGTTTGATTGTCAAATGGATTTGGTCATAGCCGAGTCATTCGCAACACACATCGGATTAAGACATCCAATATTGCATGAGATTGGGCATAACACTTTTCAAAATTTGACCAAAATAACTCCACATCCTTCACTTCTCAACGTAAAATGATCTGAATCTCTAACATAAACGGAAGTGAGTGATGAGCATTTCTTCAAGGAATACTAGACCTTCAGTTTGAAAACTCTTTTCCATTTCAAACAATAGAAAATTTGCTGAAGTATTTCTTTGGCTTGTTTTTGCTTTTGCCTAAACTGTATAATAATGCAGTGCAGGTGGGGGAGGGGGAAATAACAGACACTTGTCAGTCAGTCTATCCCTTACAAAGATTACATGGGCCGTGGCTATTGAAACGAACAAGCTTGTTTGAGTGATGTACTACATTAAAACACAGACTGACTCAATCTTCATTGGCATAAATAATAATAA